ACGCTAAAAAGCTCGAGAGCATGGAGCTGCAATGTCACTATTTGGTGCTTTAGCTGAGTGCAATGTCGTGACGCTCAAACACCCAACATCGGGGGTGCTTCAAAAGTGACAACACCATATTTTGCAGAAATTTACACCAAATACTTGAGACTAATTCTAGATCACACACAATCATTTCCATGTACTTTACGCTTCCAAAAATATGCAAATAATTGAAAATTTCAAAAGTTCAAATATTTACTTCCAATAGAGTCTGAACTATTTGAACCAAATGTTGAACCTATAGGTGTAACAATAGTGAGAATCACATCCTCATTAAAAGTGAAATAGTAAATAGTGAAATAATAGTAATAATAATAATAAATTAGTAGCAGTATCAATAACAATATCAATATTTGTGACATGGATGGCAATAATAATAAAAAATAGTAATAGTAAGACAATACAATACCAGTAAAGCATTGTAGTAATATTGAATTAGTACAGTGACATGCATTCCAGTAACCACATAATAGGTAAAAAGTTATGGCTTAAGCAATATTTTTTCAATAATTAATAATCATTATCAATATTAATAACCATTAGCTCAATAAATAAAGTCTTCATTATTTGCCTGTTAATATAATAATAACTTCTTATAACTCTCAATAAATGAATCACATGAATCAATATAGAATAATATCAAACAATGATATTTAAAAGAAAGTGCATCAGCCTACTATCCTATACAGGTCAATCAGTCTCCAGCAAAACGTTAATAATTAACTAGTCTTTACTTATTCTCCCATACACATATTATTTTTACAGTATCATAATATATAGTAATAACAACCAACTATTATATAATATCATGATATTATTCATTCACAATGTTTGTATTAAATGTAGACTTAAATAAAAATATCAAAGTTCTATTGAGTGCAAATTATATATAATATAATAACTTTCATTCTACCACATAAAATACAAAAAAAATTTGTATTCAAAATATTTATAATAACCAATACTATAATATACAAAAAATTATGCAATTGAAGTTCATTAAATCCAAAAATATATAATAAATTACGTTTAGAAAGAATTGAACGGTCGAAATCAAAATATTCAAAAATAGAAGTAGGGAATAAGTCACATGACCTACCATAATCTGGGCAATTTTATAAAAGCAGCAAAGCAGAATAATAACCAAAATCCCATCTTTCTCTTCCTCTCTCCTTTTTTTCTCTCCCTTTTCTTCTTCCTTCTACGACAAGCAAACAAAGTGACGAATGTGGGAGGCTAGTGAGTGAAAAAATATAATTTAGTGGGTAGTGCCGTAGTGCCACCACCCAGCACCGCAATACATGTTAAATTCATAATTACTTTAGAACAATCTTCAATATCACGACAACAACTTCTACCACTGTTGTGCTTCACAGGCCCAACGTCTCAGTGCTCTCAATTTTAGCACCGCAATGCTCCACTTCAAATAAAATTTCAGTCTTTTTATTAAAAATCATTTTAAGAATTTCAAGTCATTACATTGGCCCCACTTATTGAAAGTAGATGTTGGAGGTTATATATATATATATATATATAGATGTTGGAGGTTATATAATAATGTTTTATTCTGATTTTGAGCCCATCTGATATAAGCATGTGTGAGAGGTTAAAGGGAGGCATAAGTGGAAGTTAAGCTATAAGCAAGTATCGAAATATATGCATTATATTTATTGCATTGCATATGCATAAATGGATAAAGTACAATTGATATTTTGAATCTAATGTTATAATTATTGAATTTTTGTATGAGCTTTGATGAAATATAAAAATCAAGTGCAAGTGAATCTCTCATGATACATATTCTATAAAGTATGTGAAATTTTTTTATAAAATTGGCTTTACAAGTAAGTGATAACTTTAAGTTGCATTGAAATCCTAGAAAATTTGTCTTTTACTATTCTCTAGCTAGTACTTCATTTATGCTTTACTCTCTTTTATTGTGTTGCATATTTTACATTTATTTCATATATTTTTATTTATCAGGGGCTAGGTGGGGAGTCTATGTGTTAGTTGTTCTCATCCTATTATTTTAATATTTCAAAAAGAGAGAAGGGCCTAATATAGTATTAGAGTGTAGAAACATGAGCTTCTATGTTTAAGTAAATGAGGTATCATTTTGTAATCCAATTTTTTTTTAACGTATAGATAAATGTAAGTTAATTGGATTAGTGTATATATAATTTGACAAAATAAAATATGTTCATTGCGTTAGTATTTGGATTTTGTAATTGCTCTTGTTGCTTTTGTCAATGGTTAAATGATAATTATAGGTTTAAGATTTAATTTATTCCTCTCATTATTATTGCTAGTATTAGGTCATTATGAATTTCTTATTTTAGGTTATAAACTTTTCTTTTATATAATGATGTAATGAATTTCAATTATAATAGTAAGAAGATAATTTAAGTTATATTAATGATGATTAAATTAGGGTGATTTCAAAGTAACTTATTTATTAGGTTGATGTTCATTGACTTTTAATGCTATTATTTTAGACTTATCTTGATTAAGTTTATCAATTAGTATTATGATAGATTAAAGCTTCGTTTGGGATGGCTTTTTTTATTGCTTCTTACTTTTTATACTAAAAAGATGCTTTAAGAAGCATTAATTAAGAAAGCCGTCCCAAACGAAGCCCAAATCTTATGCTATTATATGTTGAACTCATGTTATAATTTAGATATTAATTTTAGGACTCTTTTTGTAGGACCTTCGAGTTAAGTTCCGCATGACAATGTTGGTAGAGTCTAAAATATATTTGGAGTTCACACAGCTTTCCTGCGATAAGTAACCATTGTTTATTAAAGAATAAATGTTTTCTTCTTTATTTAGTGGCATTATCCTTAGTATTTGTAATAAATTCAAAGATATTTTAGATTGTCAATCCTACTTTTAATATTCAATTACTATAGCATATATTTTAATAAATCTTATTAATATTCATAACATAAATATCGTATGGAAAGAAAATGCTTACCTTGATTATTAATGCATAAAATCTTTAGTATCAAAATGATTCATGTAGTAGTAGGACTTATTTTCATACATGTTGCTTCTATCTAGTAATATAATTTTTTGTTTTTTTGTAAATTATTTATTATTATGGGATTTTCATAGGATTTGTGGCTATTTTCAAAGTATCCTAGTAAACTAACTATATAATTAGGCTAATTTAAACTTTTTCAAGCTAATTCATCTCTAAAATTTTAAATCATAGATATCATCACTATATCATATGACGTTAAGAACAAACAATAATCAAACTAAGAAATAAGTAAATAATGCAATGAGTTCAAATCATATATTAACATGTAATAATTTTTGAATGATTCTGCCTTAACCTACATCCATGACTAAGGTTAATTTGTTTGGGACGGTTTTCTTATTGATTCTTAAAATAGTTTTTAATTACAAAAATTAATTTTTTTGTGCTAAAAAATTGCGTCAAGAAACAGTAAGAAAGTCGTCCCAAATGAAACACGTGTCCTTTATACCTAAGATTCCTACACATCATGATTAAAAAGAAGTTTACATATTCGAGACAGAGAAGCCTTTACAACATTTATCTCTTTGGTACAACATCTTTTACTATACCATGATAAACTTCCACATGGTCCTCAATCAGAACACTTCAAACAAAAAAATAAATAATAATAATATATAAAAACCATAACCTCTAACAAATTTTAATGCCTTACACAACGTGATTTGACAACATTAAAAAAATCAAGTAAACTGTCTATGAAACATCGAAGGAGAATCCCACAACAAACAAGTTACTTAATTTCATCATGATTTCAATGAGAGAAACCCAAAAAATTAATTTTTACAATAAGTGGTAACTGATCTCTCAACCAAAATTAGGATTTTCTTGAGAGGATGCTCAAAATCAAAAGGTTCAAAAGCCCTTGATTTAGTGTTATAAAAATTTAACTTTATGACAAATGTAGAGCTTCATTTTACAATTAAAATTTATAAGAAATAGAATATTCACCTAATCATAGCCTTCTAACATTCAAAAATACAAGGGAACTCATCATTAATTAGATCAAGTTAATTAATGAGAAAAAATGCTTACATTATTAATATTAGTGTATTTAATTAATATTAGTGTATTTAATCAATATTGATCTATATATAGAGATAGATCTCCCAAATCTTTGGAGATAAGTAAATCAAAAATAAATTGTTAATATTCTTTTTTATTGATAAAAATCACAAACATGCTTTGACAATATATATATATATATATTTTACTATTGACCATGACTTATGCATTGCCATTATTGTAAATAAATTAATGAGCATGCCAATATTAATGTTTGCACGTGCCTATGGAAAGATACATAACAATATCATAAAAATGTGCCAAAAAAATCAAAGTTTTCATATAATGGTGATGTGAGGTTTGGGTTGGCTTAGTGTGGTGAAAGTGGCTGGAATTTAATTAGGAAAATGGGACCCACCGTGTACTAAGAAGATATATTGTTTTATGACTTTTATAAGTAATTAAGATAATATTTTTATATTTAAAATGCATAAAAAATCGTGCACCCCCAATCTATTTTTTTATGATATATCAATTTAATGCAAAATATGAACTTCAAAATTATTAAATTTATAATAAAATTATTTAATATAATATTATTTTTAAAATTTAATCATTTTAAAAAATCATCTTCATTTTCTGTCTTCAGAGTTGATTTGGTCTGAAAGTCATTCGTGGCCGAGCTGTAGGAAAGGAAGGAAAAATAAGGTGTGGAGGTTTGACTGTAAATTCCATGCGATCAAGAGTTTCCTGTTAGTAAAGCACATGACGTTGTGTAAATTATAAGTCAGTTAATATATTTCTTACCGAAAAAAATCTTAGATTTTCTATGCGGCAACTTGTAGTTTTCACAAAAAAATTATAGTATTTGATTAAAAGTTTTCCACTCCATTTATTGTTTTTTTTTTCCTTTTTTCTTCAACTTCCACCTAATCTCTTAGTCTTACTATCATTGCCATTTAAGCAGGTAGTTCATGGAAGCACTTTAGTTCTTCCAAATTCTCATCTCTTTCTACATGGATTCAGCTCCTCTCTTGGAGTTTTCTGCAGGAGAAAGTGACGAGCAGGGAAGGAGGAAGGAGGGATGGCTTTGGAAATTGGTGGATGTGGATGAGATGAAGCATCAGCTGCTGTTCTCCTTCCCCATGATACTGACCAACATGGCTTACTATGCCATCACTCTAGTTTCTGTCATGTTCGCTGGTCACCTAGGCGACACAGAGCTCGCCGGCGCCACCTTGGGCAACTCCTGGTCCTCTGTCACTGGAATTGCTCTCGTGGTATGCATCATCCGCTTCAGTGATTTTGTTTTAGGCCTTTTGTTACTTATTCCTTGGAAGTAGAGATTGAAATCAACTTTTAGCTTGCTAAAGAAAATTTAAGGAGTGAAATATTTGCACATCCTAGCTACAACTATGTAACAATCTTATAAAGAGGTCATCATCATCTCAACTACTTTGGATCAATTTAATGAATCCTTGTTCTTCATTCATTTCCCTTGAGTGCAGCATGGAAGCTAGCTTCCTTGTTACCTTTTATTTTTTGCTTTTATAGATTTGTGTCATTTCTTGTAAGTTCTATGTGAGTTTCAGACCTCTCTAAAAGTATTCTGAAAAAAGTTCACTTTTAGGGAGAAGGTCTGAAACTCAAATAGAAGTTAAATATCAAGGAAAGGCGAGACAGTTAATAATATTGAGAAATCCAATGATATAGCTGCTTAAGGAGTCAAAATCAAGGTTACCATGGAGTTCTTTTGATGAACATCTATAGTTTGATCTAGGCTCTAGCCAATTTAATTCTCTCTGTCATTGGTTTCTTGATTGCTGATACACTGTGGCAACCTCTGAATATGTGAAATCTCTTAAGTAAAAGAAATCTAAAATCTTAAACATCGAGACGATTTTTGATGTAATGATTGAAATTTTCATAAAAAACTTCACAGTTAAGCGTGATCATCCCAGAGCAATTCTGAGATGGGTAATTTGCTGGAAAGTTACACCAACAGGACAAAACCGTGAAACTCTTAGGCTAAAGCGGACAATATCTCGATAGTTAAGAATTTGGGTTGTTATAGATTAAATTTGCAGTGTTAATAAAACTGCGAGCTTGTTTGTAACTTCTTTACAATCTACTCTCACATCATGATTATGAAGCATTTTGATACAGTCATAGATTCTTTTTAGCTTGTTTTTAAACAATTAAGCACCTTTTCATTGCATAAATTAAACTACACGACATATTTTTCATGTATCTCTGCATTTGAAGCTTAGTTGTGTGAAATTATCTTCTATTGTCCTCTTAATCATTCAACTATTTATGCTCTCAGACTGGCTTAAGTGGAGCACTCGAAACCTTCTGCGGTCAAGGATTCGGGGCAAAACTTTACCGAATGCTTGGAGTATATCTGCAATCATCCATCGTTACAATCTCATTCTTTTCAATCATAATATCAGTTTTGTGGTATTTTTCTGAAGAGGTGTTGATATGGCTTCATCAAGAACCTAATGTTGCAAAAATGGCTGCTATCTATGTTAGATATCTCATTCCAGGGATATTTGCCTATGGATTCATCCAATGCATTCTGCGCTTTCTCCAAACTCAATCAGTTGTGGTTCCATTAGTGATTTGTTCTGCAGTACCCTTAGCTGTTCATGTTGGACTTACTCACTTGCTAGTCCATGTTATTGGCTTGGGATTCAAAGGAGCATCTTTATCTGCTTCAATTTCGCTGTGGATATCTTTTCTAATGTTGGTTCTTTATATTAAATTATCTGTGAAGTTCAAAGAGACTTGGCAAGGGCTTTCAAAGGAATCATTTCATTATATTCTTCCAAGTATGAAGTTGGCCGTACCTTCTGCAATGATGGTTTGGTAATTAGTTCAAATCTGTGGATTTTCTGGGAGCTAGTTTTGTGTTTAACTGATATTTAAAATTTGCCATGACTATTGTTATTGTCTTTTTGCATGTAATTTAGCTGTAGTAGTAGTGTTACAATTTATTGATAGGCATTTGAAGTTCTTCTGCTATGTAGAGCTTCCATTGCTTGAAATTTATTGTTCTGCATCATGGATGGACTGGTTATATTAGTTGGTGTTAGGGAATGATGAATCAGACACAAAGAGAAATAATAAATAATGATTTGCAAAACACAAATGAATAGAAGAGATTTATCATT